TTTTTTTCCCCCACCCCTAGAGCCTGGACCTCAATATTATTGAAGTAGTGTGAGACAGAGGCAGGAAACAAATGGATGAAAATCAGGTAACATCCAGATTAGAGCTTCAATGTTAAGAAGCCTGGAGAATTATTCCTGAAAACTACTAAAATAGAGCCTGTTTTGAAGAATAAAGGTGCTTGTACTAAATTTGCAAGCTTGTCAGAATTTCACCATTTCTGTGTTTGCTTCATGTGCTATTTCCACACATGTTTGCACGTTTCACTGATCACTGCACTTATTTCCCACTTTCCAAGCAAAATATAACAAAATGAGGGATGGCTCAAGACTTTGTCCTGTAGTGTGGTTGTTTTGTAATTTATTTATTTATTTTAACTTTTAGTTAATTATTTAACTTTTGTCAGATATTAAAATGACCTAGCTGTGAAGAAAGTAGCTAATAATAACTGCAGTTTTTATGTATTACTGTCCTTTATCAAAGCCATGTCACATGCATAATATGTAAGCACAGACGGTTTCATATTTCCAATAAGTTGTTTGCATATTCTCTAAAAACTTCGAGTTGCTTTTGCACAACTAATGCACCGTCTTTTCCCAGGTGTTGAACCTGACCCAGGCGTTGAAGGACGGGAAGAGCCCCCTCCAACTGGTGCAGATGCCTCGGGTGGTAGTGGAGCGCAGCCGCTCAGGTGGCCAAGGTCGTGTGGTCACTTTGGGGAATGCGTTTACACAAACCTTCCACTGCAAGCGGCCATTCTTTTCCTCCTGGTAGTCGGAGAAGGATGACGAGGGGAGCAGAGGAGAAGCATCTGCTTTTTGTCCACACATCGCTCCTGGAGTAAAGAAAGTGAGAGAGAAGCTTACACTGGAAACTGTTCATATTTGTCCTCGGCAGGAAGGAAGTGAAGAAGGATACGGTGATGATGGAAAATAAGATGAGAAATATTTTGTGAGGAAATTGACTTGAGGCCAATTCCTCATTCGAGGAGAGTGCAGGGAACCGTGGGAGCTGGAGAGATTAGCATACCACCGTCTCCTAGAGAGACCTTGGGGCTGTTTGTGGTTACTATGGCAACTTGATTAGATAATCAGCTTTTTCACAGAGGTGGGCTTTGTTTATTGTTAGGAAGCTGAAAGTTGTTGTTTTTTTTCTTTTTTCCAAACCACCCAAGCTACCTACTGAAGGTCTCTCGATAATGTAGTGCGTTGATGGCCAAAGAGCAAGCACCTAAATACCACAAGCTAACAGCACAGTGGTCCTGGTAGTGTTTGGGAATGTTAAAGAAGTTTTTCTTGGTCGACATTGTTCCTCATCTGGGATAAAGTCCAAAATATTTGCTTTGCCTTATAGGATTACTTAGTGAAATATAGATGTGCACTTACACTGCTGGAAGTGTTTGACCAGTTCCACCCAGCTGGGCCAAAACACACTTTACCCAGCTTTAAAACCACGTGTTAAACAAAGACAGTGTCTTCAATTCTCAGTGCTGCCAAAGTCTTTGTTGAAGGAATATTGAAGAGCTTCAAGACAAGAAAATTGTTGAAACTTGAATTTGTAGGAAGTGGAGGATTGCGAATAAACACTTTGCTTGAATGTAATCTGTTTACCGTTTATACACAGAATTTTGCTCCTAAACATTTCAGTACAAGAGAATTCTGTAAGAAATAGACTTCTCATTACTATGAATGTATTTGTTGTTTGACTTGTATTTAATTGCTGGTAAGCAGCTTTCTCTTGAATCTTCTGGCATTGGGGGGGGTCGCAACTCTCCTTGCTTTTTATATTGTACTCTGTGAAGAGGAAAAACTAAATTGAGGAGACTTGCTTGATGCCATTCTGTTTTCTTATGTATGCATCTTGAAGTTTTTATTCCAACTCAGCGACTATATGGGATAAGTTGTATATTTAACAGATTAAAAAAACAATAAAATTTGGCAAAATCAAGTATTTTGTAGTTGTCACTAGTAGATGTTCTAGTTTATAGGAAAAGGCTAATTTGAAGGCATAAAGAATGAAGTGCACCAAGCTGGAGTTCAGCAGTGACAAAGGTATGTTCAGCAGAGCTCTATCTGCAGGATGACAGTTCTCATGCACCTGATTAATGCCTATTGACTTTAAGATTAAAGATGTCAACAGTAATTCCCACCCAACCTGCTAAAGCCCAAAGATATCCGGGTAATAATGACGAAAACGAAAACAACAGAACTTCACACGCGAAATATTGAAATCAGTGAATTTTTAGCTTGAGAAATTATTAAAAAGGTTATCAGCAATTAAAGATTTTCTGAGAGGAACTTTGCCGATTGCAAAGGTACACGATCTAAACCAGAGCCATGGAAAATGTTTAATAGTGTGAAAGTGACAAAGGGAGCGGTTTAAGATTACAAGCTAATGGGGCCTTTTGTAAAGCAAAAAAACAAAAAGGTGCCCAGGTTCATCTGACCAATCGAGAATGTCAGTGATGTCATTTAAGGCGAGAAACAGAATATTTCCTACAGGTGTGCCTTGAAATTGTGGTGTGTGTTCTTTGTGTAGCAGAGGTTTTCAAACCAATATACACCAAGGTGGTGGTAGATGTGAAGCACAGCTCAATAGGGTCACCACACATTCTTGCTAAGAAGCGACACACATCTGGAGAGGAAATAAAATGTGAAAAGAGATGTTGCAATACTACCAGAATGTCTCGTCATCTTAGCAGTAGTGTGACACGGAGCCTTGCACAACAGTGCCCTCATGTGGAAAGTTTTCTTTATAACCTCAGGTTAATGGGTTCAAGTCACCACAAAAACAATAGGCAGTCTTCTAAAATAGAGTACCAGGTCTTTTAAAACACTATAATAACCAAACGTATGATTCTGTACTCTGCTTGTGCATATATAGCTGTGGTCAAAGGTTTACATACACTCTTCATGGGCATGAATGTCCTGGTAATTTGGGGCTTTTTTAAACTGCTCTTTATCCACGGTGGAATGATTGTACAGCATACACCTTTACTGACTTCAAAAGTCAAGTTTGAGTTTATTTTTTACTTTTATCTGATCCATACTGGGTCAAATATATACACACAACCCACTAATGTTTGGTTAAATGTTCCTTAGCAAGTCGCTCTTGGTTGCAATCAACAAGCTTCTGACATAATTTTGGCTGGATATTTGGTCGGTTTCCTGGAATAGACTTGGTGTTTAAGCATAATCCAAACATTTTCAATTGGGTTTAAGTTGAAGCTTTGGGAGGGCCATTCCAGAAGCTTGATGTTCACCTGTTTTATTCATTCTAAAACTAGTTTGATGTCTGCTCAGGGTTATTTTTCTGCTGGAACACTCAACTCTGTCCAAGTTCCATTTCTCTAAATGTTGATTTGAGGTGAAGCTGAAGAATTTGAAGAATTCCCCCAGAGCATGATGCTGCCACCATCATGTTTGAGGGTTGGTTCAGTGTCTTAGGTTTGTAAGCCGCACCTTTACCCCTACAAACATGCCTCTTGTCATAGTGACCAAACAGCCCAATCTTTGTTTTATCTGAACATAAAACTTTCCTCTAGAAGGCATTAAGCTCATGCCTGTGTGAGAAAGTGAAAATTTCAGTGATGACGTGTCGATTTTGAAGCAGGGGCTTTTTTTCTGGGTTGGCAGTCTCTCAGTCCATGGGGATGTAAAACTTGCTTTACTGTGGACAGTGATGTTGGAGTTTCAACAGTTTCCAGTTCACGCTTTAGCCTTGATGGTTCCTGGGCTGTTCCAGAACATCCTAACCAGTTTATTCTCATCCGAGGATGACAGTTTGGATCTTCTTCCAGATCCTGGCAATGCGGTGACACGTCTCACTAACTCATACATAGATACGGTAACTTGAACTAATGGTTTTGTAATCTGCAGTTTTTTCGTAATGGCCCTGAAAGACCTTCCTAAGTTGTGTAAATCTACAATTACACTTCTTAAATTGTCACTGAATTTCTTGGGCTTTCCCGTTGTTCGAAGTATTGCTCAATCCAGTGAGTACTGGCAAAGGAAAAACTACCAAGTAATCAATCATGAACACTAATGAAAATTTAACAGGACTTGCATTTGTCAAGTAAAAGCACAATGTAGAACCTTCAGCACTGCTTATTAAAATATTTAAATAAATGTACGTCTATATCTGAGCCTGTATCTACAAGAACTGGAGAAAATGCAAAATTAAAAAAAATAAAGTGCACCCAGTTCTTGGTTTTTTAAAGATTAAGACCGTTTCAAAGGAATCAGAAGCCCAAACTACCAGGACATTCATGCCCATGATGAGTGTATGTAAATTTCTGACCTGTACAAACTTCCCTGCAGTTATGTCTGTTATGAGCTTTTGTTTCCACTAGATGGCGCGCAGTATCTGTTTTATTTTTAGTTGCCTGCCGTCGGAAGTGCACTTCAAGGCGATGAGTTTAGTCTTTCTCAAAAGTGATGTAAAGTCACAAGGCTGTAAAAATATGCAGACACAGACGGCTTGGCTTGTAGTCCTTTTTACCAAGAAGAGCCACGGGAGATTGTACTTAGATTACTTTTTAGTTCTTAAAGAAGCAACCCCAATGTTTTCAGTGTAGTAATTTAATATGATTTTGTGAGGGCATATATATATATCTATATCTATATCATATTTATTTAAGCTTTCTGGCACTATTGACATGATGCAGCTCTTTATATTTGTGGCTGCGTTTCTTTTTGCGCACGAAATCACCGAAGCCGTTCCCTCTGACAAGTGCACCTCCCGGTGCGATGTGAGCTCGTGCCCGAGCCCCAGCTGTCCCGGTGGCTACGTTCCGGACAGATGTAACTGCTGCCTGGTGTGTTCCCCGCGAGAAGGAGACCCCTGCGGCCGCAAAGACGACCTGCCCTGCGGGGATGGATTGGAGTGCAAGTTATTCGCTGCGGGGAAGCGGCGA